TGCTAATTGTTCTGGCTAGAACTTCCAAATAGCAGTGGTGAGAGCAGGCATCCTTGTCTTGTTTCTGATCTTAAGGGGAAAGCTTTCAGTCTTTCTCCATTGAGTATGATGTTAGCCATGGTTTTTTCATAAATGCCCTTTATCATTTGAGAAATTTCCATTCTATTACTACCTTGTTCATTGTTTTTATCAAGAAAAAGCATTGGATGTTGTCAAATGTCTTCTCTGCATCAATGGAGATGATCATGTGGTTCTTTCCTTTATTTAAAACATTGTGGCTTAGGTGAAAGTGTACAGAGCAAATTAGTTCCTCATTCAAGAATTTATACACAAATTGTTTCATGACATTGGTTGCAATCCCCGCACTGTGTCAGCACTCTTCCCCTTTCCACTCAGTTTCCCAGTTTCCATTTGCCCAATTTTCTGCCCCTTCCTGCCTTATTGTCTTTGCTTTTGGGCAGGCGTTGCCCATTTGTTCTTGACTGATCTGAGGACTACCTTCCTCATGAGTGTTATTTGCTTTATACGCCTAATATTTGGCTAAAAGGTGAACTTTGGGAATGGCTTCAGTTCTGAGTTAGAAGGGTGTCTGGGTGCCATAGTCTTGGGGGTTCCTCCAGTCTCTGCCAGACCAGTAAGTCTGGTCTTTTTTGTGAATTTGAGTTTTGTTGTACATTCCTTTGTTCTGTTAACATGGTGTGTTACATTGATTGATTTTCTAATATTGAACAACTCCTGCATTCCTGGGATAAATCTAACTTGCTCATGGTGCATAATCCTTTTAATATACTTTTTGGATTTGGTTTACTAGTGTTATGGACTGAATTGTGTCCCCCAAAATGTATGCTGGAATCCTAACCCCCTACATCTGTGGATGTAATTCTATTTGGGAATAGGGTTTTCTTTGTTATGTTAATGAGGTTATATTGGTGTAGAGTGTGTCTTAAACCTACTCACTTTTGAGATACAAAAAAAAATAAAATAAAAACAGATTAAACACACAATAGCAAGCAAAATGGAGGAAAGATAGACGCCAGATGGAGATCACCAAGGAACACTGAAAAGAATGCTTGAGAAGCTGAGACAAGGATTATCCGCAATAGTGAACAGAGAGAGCCTGTACTCATGGCCATGGAGGGTGGGACCATTGCTCAGATGGTCCTGGAGAACCTAGGATTCTTTTCAAGCTTTGAGAGTTAATGAAATTTGCTCTGCTTGGGTTTGGACTTGTTTGGTGCCCATAAACCCTTCTTTCCCTCCATTTGCTCCCATTTTTAATGGAAACATCGACCTTGTGCCTGCTCCACCATTGTTCTTTGGAAGCAGATAACTTGTATTTTAGGTTTCACAGGTTATCAGACGGAGGGAAATTTTGTCCTGGGATAGAATCTGCCCAGAATCTCACGCATACTTGACTGAGATGACTCAGAAGATGAGATTTTGGATTTAGAGCTGATGCTGGAATGAGGTAAGACTTACGGGATGTTGTGATAGGGTGAATGTGTTTTGCATGAGGAAAAGTCATGAATTTTGGGGGGCCAAAGGGGAGAATATTATGGATTGAATTGTGTCTCCCCAAAATATGTGTTGGAACCCTAATCCCTGTATCTGTGAATGTAATCCCATTTGGGAATAGGGTTTTCTTTGTTATGTTAATGAAGCCATATGAGGGTAGGATATGTCTTAAACCTACTCACTTTTGAGATGTAAAAAGAGTAGATTAGGCACAGAGAAACCAGAAAAATGGGGAAAGATGGATGCCACATCGAATTCCCCAAGGACACTGGGAAGAATGCTTTGAGAAGCTGAAACAAGGATTTTCCCCCATAGTGGACAGAGACAGCCTTTCCCGAGAGTCAGCACCCTGAATTCGGACTTCTAGCCTCCTAAACTGTGAGAAAATAAATTTCTTTTTGGTAAGACCCCCTACTTGTGGTATTTCTGTCTGTTATAGCAGCTCTAGCTAACTAAGACAGCTAGAAGAAGCTAGCTGGTTCAGAGCTTGTATTTTGTTAAGGATCAAGTAGGTGTAATTTTGAGTAGAACATCTCAATGTCCACTTTGTCAGCAGCCAAGATGAGCCTCAGGTTTGTGCCTATTCTAGTGTCAAAAGAAAATGAGTGAAGTGACTAAATAGAAGTTAAAGGCCTTATTCAGCTGCTGTACGCCAACTGACTTACTGAATGAAGCAAGTTCAGGGTGTTTATAAGGTGGGGAAAGTACCGCACATGTCCTGGCAGTCCTGGCTTTGGCAGCAGTTTGTGATTTTAACCAAAACTCATGGTTGGGGTATTCCTGTTTCCATGTTTGTGGTTGTTGACTCAATCTTGATAACCATGAGACTAGTGTTTACTTAACTACTGTTTTTGCAAGACTTGTGGTTTATCGGCTAGTGACAATTCACAGGACGTGGGAGGTAGATAGCAAAAAAGAAAGAAAAAGGGGAAGTAGAAGGCAAGGGGGAAACTGGAAAATCTCTTTTATGGTTGTTTAAGTCCTTTTACGCTGTACTTGTCAATGGTCAAGTACTTCCACTACCACCCATTGCTGTTGAGTCAATTCCAACTCATGGCGACCCTGTGTGTGACCCCATGTGTGTTAGAGTAGAACTGCGCTCCATAGAGCTTTCAATGGCTGACTTTTTGGGAGTAGATCATATGCCTTTCTTCTGAGGTGTCTCTGGGTGGACTTGAACCACCAACCTTTTTTATTGACAGCTGAGTGCATTAACCATTTACACATCCAGGCACTCCTGTCAGGTACTTGGAAGGACCAAAATTGATAGCAAGAAGACCTGGGGAAGGAATATGTGACTAAATCTCTTGGACTAGGCCTAGAACCCGAGATAGTTATGCTGAGTTTCAATGCTAAATGGAAGTCCCTTATTGCTGCAGAGGCTGTCAATAATTAGGTGGAGTCAATGACCAATTATTAAGATTCTTCTGTTGCCTGGGGCTCAAAAACATGGACTTTTGTTTATAAAACTCACTTGATGACAAGCAAGTATCCAGATGGTCAGCAACGTAATCCAGTCTGTAGCCCTCAATTTGGTATGATATCTTGCCTCTGGATGCAGTAGCTGAATGTCATTTTGGGTTGTGTTCCATTGAGGAGCAGGTCACTATGTGTTGGTATTTGCATTTCATTAGTCAGAGGCCTCTCGGGAATATCTGTATGAAAAGAAGATTCTGTCTGTCTGCTTCCAAGACAAGAGGTAGAGTGGGCATTTTTTGTTTTTGCCTGCCTAACTCCTTTTAGAAATATTCCATACTTCAATCCTCACTCCATGTGATTGGTAGGATGCCAATCCATGGGGCTTTGTCCCCCTGACCACAGAGGTTGATATGTGACTCAAGTTAGACCAAAATACATTTTTTTTTCTCATAGTGAATCTTGAGCAAAGACCCCTAGGGATGGGCAGTTGGAACTGA